TTGACATGCCTGACTCGGCTTCTTCGTGTTGCATGACAAAGATGTCACGTTGTATACAGACAGACTGGACAGTGAAATACTGGGCAAAGTCGGTAATCAAGGGGAAGAGATATACGGGGCGAAAGTGTCGAAGAGACCTGCTATTTGGGCCAGTTTTGCATGCTGTAGCCTTGATACCACATATTAATGGGCTCTGTTACCACCGGATCAAGTACTTACCTTGGTCCTGGAGGCAGTTCAATGTACATTGATTTGTTATGTACGTCTCATCAGCGAGTGGAATAATATGATGTTTTTTTGAGCGGGTGCATACAGACACGCTGTGCCTAGCGCGTAGCAGCACCCCCAAGTAAAGTACCATCAGTAGTGACAAGTGATTGCCTGATTGCATGACCGACGGGAACGTATCTTGATGTTGGTTGCGCAATATTGTTGTAATTAACATCCCCGGGCGTTGATATTAAATGTCTTCTCAATCAAACGCGAGGCTTGTGCGAGGCAAAGACTAAGTTAGAAATTAAAATACTTCGCACCAAATATGGCAATTACTACGCAGCATCAGCCTGAACGCTCTCAGGCTCTCACTGGCACCTGTCTGCGGGACCTACTGCACGACTTCACTCACAGCCGAACCATTCCGCGTTTCTGTGCACTAGTAACAACCTCCAGAACGCTCGCTAGGCCTGCCTTCTACGTAACAAGACGGCTCCTATTACTCTGGCTCAAACGTGCGCGCTGACGAATGGTAAACGTGTAGACATGATTGAGTAGTGTGCGGGAGCTTTCCGAAAAGAAAATTCAAGACATTCCGAACAAAAATCCCGTTAGCACACATCAACATCTGTATATGAAGCGAGTGGTGGTCAACTTTTGTCTCCATAATTGATCACCACCTTGAGTAGAATCAGATTAACCCATCAGGCTATAGTAACGAACCATAGAGCTTCTGCCCCGGCGCAAGCTGAGGAACCACCTCCAACGCGTGAACCTTCAAAACTAGACAGCCAACTCCATAGCACAAGTCTGAAGAATACGAAAAGGGTATTCGAATTTCGTCTTCTTGCACGACAACGTCCACAGTATGAGCAGTTTGTTAGACGACACGACGTGCAAGTGGGACGGGGACAATGGACTTATTGCGCAGGAATCGTTGGAAGGCGATGCAGATTCATCTGCACAAATGATCAATGCGAATAACATTTAACCAAACAAATGAAGAGATCAAACCTGCAGATTCATCATCATCTAGCCGTGGAGGACCAGGCCGTTGCTGAACCAATAACCGACACATCAGATCAATCTTACTCGGATACTAATAGGATATACTCACATCCACCACTACTTCCCCACTCCAATCTCTCATCCGTTCACGCACTCTCGTCCCCAAAGGCTACATGTTATCATTCTGCTATGTGATCATCGCCTGCGGGTTCGTTCCAACTTAGGGCATACTGCTTTGATGCGGACCTGCGGGGTTGGAAAGGTTCGCCTTTGGCATAGTGGGTAGTGCTTGACGTGGTTGTTCAAGAGAGATGGGATGATCTGGGTGCGGAAGATGTATATGTACATATAGATGTAGAGGTGGATGTGGATGCGAGTGTAGATGTGGCGAAGTCAGACATATCGGATCGGACAATACACGATGGGGGGTGAGAAGACAAACATGATGATATGGTGGAGGGACTTACGGATGGGATGTCCACGCGAGTAGTGGACAACACTACATAGTTGGAGGTGGCCGCCTTCGTGAAGGCCTTAGCATCAGCGCATACGCCATGCTGCTGTGTCTTGGTAGTTGGGCATGAAGCCGAAGTTGACTTCTGCGACTTCGGGTTCCTAAGGAAAAGCTAAACTAATTTATACAATGCATAAAAGGCCTGATACGCACCCGTGTACCACGTTGGACAGGCATAGTGTATCGATTTTCTTGGTCTTCCATCAGATACCGTTGTTCAGAGGTTGAGCGGGGTTTGGCACGGACAAGAGGTATATTTGATCTTCTACATAGGTCGTAGAAGTAATTAAACGTTAGTTGCCGACTGAGATCTTTGGTATTATTGAGTCATACCTTGTGACTTAAGTTATCGACGAAAGTCCATGTGTAGGGTTGGTTTTGAGAGGTTTGGATAGCGCGGAATAGTATGTTGGCTGCATCTTCTAGGGAGACATTTGAATGAAGTCTTCTGGGTATTTGAATATATATGTGAGCCTCTTAAGCTTGTTGCATTTGCTAGAATGCCGTTCACTTGACGATAAGCTGAGCTGGCAGGCTCTTCAAAACGTCAGCTACACAGTACGGCAGTTTCCGCTAGTCAGCATTTCAGAAGTGAATGTAAGTATTGATTTCGAATGACCCCCGATTTGAGCAAACTTATAATACATCACGCTTTAAAGCTAGGTTTGATGTAGGAGTCGCGTCTGCACCGGGACCACTTGTATGATACTAATACAAGGATGATGAGCTTTAGCATTACATTACAAGAAGTGTTACTACAGTTATGCAAACCCATCAACTACTCGCAATGAGTGGTTGTCGCTCTCCGTTATCAGTGTCTGCAGCTGAAGGGTGGTATTTGCGTGCCAACCGTGCAGTCAACGCGCCGTCCTCCAATCGTTCCACCTCCTCTACGACAGTATACCCTCCTAGCCATGGCAAGACAATAATCCACAGCCAGTAATAGACTCCGCACATCTATAAAGGGTCAGTTTTATGTTAAATCGCGTTGTAAGTGTAGTACACACCGCAAGGACACCCAGGCCCACCACACAGTAACTGAATAATGGATGTGGTCAAATGTGGACTCAGAAAGGCAACAACATTAGACTTACGTTGCGTACCAGAAAGACACGTCGCCATGACCAGGTTCCGGTGGTATCCTTGTCGAAACAATCAGTTCTGCTTCAAGGCGTTTCTTTAAGGACAATACCAGGGCATTATGAGAAGAAAATATCGAGCTGAGCAGGTAAGAGAAACGTAGATATGCTTCGCACGATACTTCGAAGGTGCAAGTCCAGCAAGTGCTCGCCGCCTTCGAAGAAGCCACAATCCTATAGCAGTTGCAACATGGAACACCTGCGACTTGTTGATCACATAGTGCGCCGCGGTCGAATAAAATACCTACTAAATTTGGATAAGAAGCCAAGTCCAACAAGAAGTTGAATGCATCTCGAGCTGGGAGGGCGACCATCACGAAGACTGTGAGAAAGTACTTCAGACACACGGGTCCCAATGGCGTGCCGAATGGCTTGGTCGATGCAAAAAATCTTGGATACGGAAGTAGCCCCTGACGGGCAATCTCACGCAATGCGCGTGTCTGACCAACAGCCTGGCCAAATATGAGTCTTCGCATTATGTAGTTTCCAAATGTATTGCTCACCATAGCGGTCTAGAGATGTATTTTGTGAGAAACTCGGGCACACGAAATAGCAGGATCACGCACAAGGTTTCCGAAGCAACTTAAAGCAACCATGATCGGCAGGGTTTTGCCTGCGAAGCTCTCTCCGTATACACGCTGGAAAAATAAAGCCGCGATGAGCTGCCCAGAATTTCTTATCTCGTCCTTTGGCACCGCTGCCACGTAAGCAACATTGACAAAGAAAAAAGACATGCGACTAAAAGCAGCGATAGCAGGCTGGCTTTGCGTACTGTGCGGACAGGGTCACGCGTATGGACTTCCCCAATGACACTAAATGCGTTGTTCCAACCAGCGAATGCAAAATTAGTCTTGACTAGGGCAGTAGCCAAAGAATTTGGATTGGTCGTGCTCCACTGAATGGGGACCGGAAATTGGCATACGGATCGCTGATGCGAGTGAAACCGCCAAGGACGAGTGCGCCCGTAAATACCAAGCTGAAAGCACAATATGTCAGTAGATGAAGGATGGTGAACGATGCGCTCACAAGATAGAGAAAGAACCTTCAACCCAGTAATAAAGTTCACGGCTCTTAAAGACCATTTCGTTGAGAAGGCGACGACTGCGTGGTTAAGTTCCAGATTGTACCTTGGCGCAAGAAACTTAAGAAGCTCACGAGCCATACCAGCAGCACAGACTGCTAAAGCAACAGTAGTTTGCCTTTCGGGAGTGATGGGGATATCGAAAATTGTAAGCGCATATTGGGCAAATATAATTGAATTTGTTGCGCTAAAACTGATCAGTGTAAAAGCAATTCCATGAATATCTCGTCGGACATGCAAACAGTAGTACGCACGACAGAAGGACTGAGGTTACAGCAAACATGATTGGGACCAAAAACTTTGGACGCGGATATGCCTGCTCCAAGTACACAACTTCTGCCCCAGATCTTTTTGGGAACATACTTGAGTATTCACTGTAGACCATGAGACCTCCGAATGCAAACAGTGGAGCTAACAGCCAGAAAACGAAGAGTAGGCCGACCGAGCCAACCGAATTCAGTATGACGCCTGGAACAGAGTATATTCCTGCGCCGAGCATTCACCCGAGATTGAGCATAACAGAGGACAGTAATGTGACCTTGTAACCCAAGGGATTGTTCTGCAGACGATATAGTATTTATCGGACACAAGTGAATTGTTGTTACCCTCTCTATTGGTGCTCCCGCAGCTGACAAAGTGTTTCCTTCATCTTGCGCGTCCGAGTCACCGCTTTGAGCGAGGACTTCGGAGTCCAGGACGTTGTGGATGGTCATGACGGTAGGATGATAAGGCTAGTACCCAAGCTTCCTAAGACGGTATCATATTTCAATTTGAAGAGCCATGCTCATTGACTAGCATTATGGCGCAATCACTGGCAGCCGGCGATGATGAGAGTAACATTAATGTCATGTGTGATAAATATAACTTTGGCTGACTCAAGTCGGGCGGAGCCTTATGTAAAAACTGGTCTGGGGCCTGGGCTCCCCCTTTGAAATACATAGCTTCTTTTTTAGATTCTTAACTTCCGGCGGGGACAGCACCTTGAACAACTCCCCAGTTTCTGTATGGTCATTCGACTCACTTATTATAGCAAAAGATTATTAATGTTCACCAATTCTTAAACGCCAAGGATATCGGCAGTTCGCACACTCGCTTCCTAAACCGTTTAGCTATAGGCGCTTTGAGCGAGAGAACAAAAATATATTCACGAAAAGTTTATATAGTAGCCCTGCTTCAGAACTTTTATCGCTCGCCTTTAAATTTGCGTCTGACATTCTGTAGCTGAGCACTATCCCTTGAAATTTGTCCGCCACTCATGGGAAGTCAGACGCTGCGGTGCTTGAAGAGGATCAAGTCGCTCTCGGTTATGATGTCTTGCCTCAAGTCGGTCGTGCAGAAGGCATCGGGAAGGACTATCAGCTCAAGTGTGATCTCAGTAAGCAAGGGTCATTTCTGTTTCTTTTCATGTACCGGTTGGCGCTTGTTACTCATTTAATCAGTCAATAGATGTTTTCAAGAAGAGTGCTGTGAGCACAGTCACAGTCTTGTGATAGATAACCCAAGCCCATTCCACCGTACAGGATTGGCTTTGATCGCTATCAATGGCAGCTCTTTGTTATTACTTGGGCCTGAGTGAACAAGCGCACTCACGTCAACGTGGTTGAGACTTCTCACTTACGTTTATTTATGCAGGATCATTCCAAAGAACAATCGCGTTAGTCAACGTCTATATATACGCGTCTGGTAATCATGTAGCAAGCATACACGCTGCAGTACATTATGTAGCTACTAGTCAAGTGAACCGCTGCTAATGCCATGTTGTTTATTTATTTTTGTTTTTAGACTCATTGCGGAGGCTATGCACCCGAGTCCGAGACTGACCGTCAGCGTACGTATATAGTTACGTACTTTTCGTATTACCAACAGTTGAAACATTCCATCATGACCACGGCACTTCGATGGGTTTACAGCTCATTAATAAGTGTTAAGAAGGCGCATGATGTGTGTGTGAAACTCATTTTTTACCTCTAGATGGAGTATTCGACTAACGATATCGCAGCAGCGAACAGCGAGCAGTTCGCTAAGGTGCGTCTCCTTATCGATATAAGGATGAATCATAATTGAAAGTCATGTATTATCAGTACATATACAGTGCGTACTGTCTGAACCTCATGTTATTTGTCCTAACACAGTTCAGCGTCAATGGCTACGTTCTGGGTAGGCTCATTTAATCCATTCACTTCCGCTGTCAAATCCGCTTATCCACCTGCAGATTTATGATTATGCATGTTTACTTGATGAAGAGGTAATACACTTGTTCTGTGATAAACCCCGGTTTTGATGCCCACAATATGTTGTACAAAGTGGACATTTTTTGCTTCGATCACATTGGACCAAGATGAAAGGCCTGTATATTGTTACACGATTCCTCCCTTGATCCTTTGCGCCATGGGTCTATATAGTGCGTTCCGTTCGAGTACACATCACCCTGATGATGAATTAACACTTTTTTCAGGGAACCTTACCCCATTGAACATAGATGTATGTGATGCGGTTCACGAGAACGCACAACTTATTGCATGACTTTGTCAGCCATGCCGGGTGTTGGCCAATGTTGAATCAGGTACGCGCATGATACACTCATGTATGTACGTCCTTGCTGAAGGCTACTATTTTTCTGTTACAGGTCTTGACCTAGTATTGGTCAGTTCCTCCGAATGTATCTCATTTCCCCGTACTATATGTGTATTTCTTGATCGGATTCATCTAGGGTTTTCATCCTCAGAACATTTGTGCTCTGGGATCAGAATAGATTCTTGCTTGCCACCATGCTGTGTTTCTCTTTCGTGAGTTGCCAATCCACTCACCATACCCAAGCTACTAGTGGTAGATGCATCAACCAGACTTTTATTGCAACATCCTTCGGCATTGTCTTCGCCACTGTCATCCCCGCAGCGTGTACTCGCTCTCACTTTCCCTCTGGTGTTCCACGACCACTAAAACATTGTGTTCACTTTCACAGGTACGACTGGCCCGATCCCGGGAATTACAGGGTACAACCAGATTTCGATCAGTTTCTGGTATTTGATACCATGTCTTCTCCTTTCTGTATTTAAACTGGGTG